CGATTCTTCGGTTCTTGGTCTAGATCCGAGACCCGACCCAAACCCATCAGTTCTCAATTCGGGTACCCGTTCGGGTATTTAATTTATGAAGAACCGCTCGGTTCGGTTCGGCTCGGTTCAAGTTCGGTTCGGTTCGGATCGAGACTTTTGGACACCCTTATGTGTGATGGAGAATTTTACCGTAGCAAACAATTTTTTGGAATAATGGTAGACAAACAGGGGCTAAATGTAGTCCAATTGTATCATATTTAGTTGAATTTAATGTCATGTAGTGTCATATAAGCTGACACCAGTTGGATTAAAATGATGTAAAGAATCTACTTGGGATTTCTGCATTTCTTGAACACTCTCCCAAGATCGAATGAATGGTTCTTGATTATTGTTACCATGGAAATGAAGAAAGCTTAGAAAGAATTGTCATAACTTTTTCTCCTTGCAGTACATCACCCATGAGATGAAAGATTTACTACAACAGAAATAGCTTTTTCCGGCATTGGTTTATAGCGTGCATATAAAGCATGCCGTAAAAATAGATCTTTTACTGCATGCATTAAATGTGTGCCGTAATAATTTAATCACTTAAAGTATTTACGGCATACAGTTTGGACACGCCGTAAAAGTTGAATATTTACGGCATACATATTGGCATGCAGTAAAAAATGCCCATTTTTTTTACTTCAAATTTCTTTTATTTTGCTTCTCTCTCTTTCTTCTCCCATATTTTCCTTTATTTTTCTTTTTCTTTTCTTTATTTATTTCTTCTCCATGTTTTCTCTCTTTTTTCTACGCTTCTCTCTTATCCTTTCAGCCAAACCCTTCCCTTCTCCTTCCAGCCGCTCAATTAGCAATCATTTGTTCAACCAGCCATCTGCCATTTCTGCCCAAACCCTTTGCCGATTCGCATTTTTAAATTTCTTAAAATTTTCTCAAGTCACCTAACCACTATTTGAGTCTTCGATCGCCGTCGCCGTTGCCGTTGCCGTTGCCGCTTTATTCCCTTTCCAAACCCAGGTAATTTAACAATTTCATAAATGCACCCTCGTCAGTACTCCATGTTTATCTCCAACGTTTGAAAGAATTCTGTACTTTATGATCAAAGTAAGGTTTTTGGTTTGAGGAATTGAAAATATGTGCTACTTTTTATGGGTAAATGATTTTGATTGGCCAATAAAGGTCCTGTTTATCATAATAAAGTTGATTGGTTGTGAGTAAATTTAATCAATCATCGTTGAACTTCAAAATTGTTACTACTTACTCACTCATATTTAACGGGTTACCAAATAATCACTCATCTTTACATTTAATTACCCATCCATCACTCATTTAACTCCCATCTCTCCAAACAAACGGAAAATCACACGTGGATAACGGAATTCTGGCAAAAAATCAGCAGAAATTATATCCAAGTCACTAAAAAACAACAAACAAACACCCCTTTATATTATTAACCCAAATCATCTCTGAAAGGGGCCGGCCACTGCTTCGACATTGGCAACACCATCTTCCGCCATGAGAGCGCCACTGGTCGCGACCTCGATATGCTCGCAGCAGCTGCCATTTCCGAGTACTAGATGCAATGTGCGGCTGCAGATTCAGTGTTATTTAAGGAGGGATTGCTTTGATTTTATTGATACTGATTCATTTGGTGGTGATTCGAGTTTCCTGAGGTGTGCTCTGGGTGTTGTGGAATTGGATGGGATTTTTAAATCTTAAAATCAAAACCCCCAAATCAGAACCCCCGATCCTCTAAACCTGACGAAATGTTCATCTTCTGGAGTGGTGGTGCACGAGCAATTTATAGGGATTGTTGTTCGTATTTGTAGTTGCAGTTGGTTGTAATAGTTGTAACTTGGTGGCTGATAGTTGGGCAGTATTTTGTGTTTCTTGGTGGTGGCTGATAGTTGGGCAAAATTCAGGTTTGCTGTGAAGTTTTATTGAACGAATGAATCATCTTGTAACTTAGTTTGTTTCTTGTTGGTGGCTGATAGTTGAGAAGGCAAGGATGATAGATTAGAGGAAAGAAAAGGAACATACTTGAGAAGGCAAGGATGAAATAGTAGAGGCTAAGGCCAGGCACCAGGCACGGAATACGGGTTTAATTCCAGGTCGTCTAGAAAGTGTGCCATGTATAATTTTTATTTTCCACGTGTGATCTTCCGTTTGTTTGGAGAGATGGGAGTTAAATGAGTGATGGATGGGTAATTAAATGTAAAGATGAGTGATTATTTGGTAACTTGTTAAAGATGAGTGACTAAGTAGTAACAATTTTGAAGTTAAATGATGATTGATTAAATTTACTCATTGGTTGTGGATGAGGTGGAATGGTGGATGGAAACATTGTTTTATTTTTGAAATTATTGGTGCAATTGTTGGTTTTTATTTGATTCTTTTATCTATTTTTATTTTGATTTCATGTGTCTATGAGGAATTTTTTTTTTTTTCTATGTTTGGGATTTTGAACAACAATTTGGTTTTGCTTGTTATCTCGGATGTGTAGGAAGGATATGGGCACGTCAAAATATATTGATTTAATTGTACTCGCGTAAGGGAGGCATTTGCTGAGATTAACAGGCATATTCCTGAGCGAAAGGGAACCATTGTTTCATTGGCAGTATTGACGCAAAAGTTTGGAAGGAGATCTAGCAACATGAGTGAATCCTTCGGCACATTAGTTAAAATTGTTTGATCATTTTTTTTTTTAAAGAAAGAGAATAATGCCTTAACATTGTCAAACGTGATATTTTTCATGAGATATAATCTGGCAGAATATAACATAGAAATTTTGTGTTATCAAATAACAAGCAGTTGGCTCGGCTGAATCTGAGCGATATTTTTTTATTTTTGTAGCTATTCCCACTTTTGAGATCTCTGTCCTTCTTCTGTACTTATACAAGTCTCGCTTGCAACTCACTTTAGGAATTGGAACTTAGTTGTTAAGTGACTGAATGTGTGCAAAGAAGTGGGCTTAGCCTAGGTACAAAAAAAACGAACTGGTTAAGCAATATTTAGGTGGTCAAAATGTACTTTACATTTCTATTTAAGCATATTATGTTATATTCATCTCTACATGAAGCACTTACTTTTGTTCTTTGAAGTGTGACATTGTTGAAGGCAAAACATTTGCACTAGTTTTATTCTGTTAAGTTGTTAGATGGTATACAATCTCGTTTGGTGTTTTCTCAATTTATTTATCTTTCTAATTGTGTGTTCTTTTTTTCTTGAAACTTCTCTTAACATTTCTAATATTTTGAATTGAGGAGCTGTAGAAGGTATATCAATAAAAGTAGTTTGAGCAGTTAGCTTTATTGGCAATTCATTTATGTACTGATGTTAAGGAATTCTTTTGATTGAAACAGAGCGGAAAACTATTTTAAGAGAGATGTGGATGTGGAGGTGGAGTTGAAGGATGCAGAGACTTTGAACAAATAGGCAAACTTTCTCTGGCAGGTGAAGAAGGATTTTTGGGCTGTTGAGGAAACCTACTTGGAAGCCATTGAATAATGAAGTTTCCACATGCTGAAACATTTAGTGCAATGGCAAACTTTTTGAGTAGGTTAATAATATTCATAGAATTATTTAGATACACTCAACATTTTATAAACTGTACTCAACATTTTTGTTTGTGGAAACTATGAAAAACATGATTATTTGTTTAATGTATATAATTTTGTTCTTTAATTATTGTAGGTTCGATGATAATCACATCAATAAACAATTTTAAAAAGTAAATTGACTGCTTTAATGTCTGTTTTTACGACATGCATATTTATGCTTTTATGACATGCTTTTCGGCAGTTAATTTAGTTTAGCTCATAAGCATAATTCATGTGAAAATTTTACTAGTTAGTGGACTGATTTAAGTTTTCAGAAATGTTAAGTCATTCTTTTATTGTTTAGTAGAAATGAAAAACTCAGTTTCTTCTCGTGACATGGCATTTTTTTCTCTTCTATAGTT